TACGACGCACATCGGATGCAGTGTGAATTCAGCATAATGGCGCGGTCCCATGATGTGGAACGATGTCCGTCCAATCGCAAGCATTCCGTCAATTGCGCTCCGCCAATCACGAGCGTTCCGCCATTCCTCATTGCGCCAATTCCGTATCATGGTGAACCATAAGGGCGCGTTCACACCTGGATGGAAAAGCAGCAACCAATCAGAACTCGCGCTGGTAGCCGATAATTTCGGCTTTCTGTACTACTTACTATCAGCGCGAGTTGTGATTGGCCACTGCTTTTCCGCTTTCTGCTTTTTCATCAAGGTGTGAACGCGCCCTAAGAGATTTCAAATTATCAGAAAGCGTCCAGTTTAGTATACATGGTTTCTGATAGGTTGAAATTTGTTATTTCCTGTGCTTTTCACTATTGGTACTTTCCAGTAAGGACACAATTAGACACTATTCGAATATTTATGCGTGTTAGGTATGTTTGTACCATGAAATAAGAGTAAGGAGACTTAATTAAATAGGACATGGAGAAAAAAGTTGGTCACGAAAAACGTGTATTGCCATGTCCGCCGAACGGAATAACTTTATCGCTCTTAATAACTCGGTTCACAAGGCCGACCACCGCATTTTTCTTACAGATTCTTTCGTTTTGAGTGAAAACGCGACGAATGAGTATATTTTTATTCAGATTTTAGGAGGGCAAGCTACTTACTTTTTAGAAGACGTATTTAATATACATATGTACAACACAGTCGCAAGGATACTGCACACATATAAATATTTCATATGGCGATGGAAATATTGCAAGTTATTCCGTTCGGCGGACATGACAGTACACGGAACATTTTTCGTGACCATTTTCAATCTACACAGTTAAGTCTCTTTATTCTTACTTCATGGTTTGTACATATTTATACATATTAATGTATAAAAAATTTTTTACCGGGTTGCTAGCATGAATTTGATACTAAAATGTTCTAGACATATGCTATCGAAATATGTCAATATTCGAATTTGTTGCCAACTACAACGCATGAAAAACATTTATTCCGGCCGTTCTCCGTGCCGTGCACTAATAGTAAGACCTTGTTTAAGGGGGTCTGTGATGATTTGAAAAACCAAAATATCAATGATTTTTTGTGAATTTTTTTGTGGAAAAACGGTTATAACTATCAATTTTAGGTTTGGACCTATATTTTATTTGCACTTTGTACAATATGTATGAATTTTTATGAACCAAAATATGTTAAAAATGTTCGAGAGGCAACAATGATGGCAAATGAGATTTTATCAAATTGCTGACATTGTGCAGCCACAATTAGTCGTCTGAAATAAAAAAATCAAATCAAATTGATTTGTAATTAATAATGTTGAATGTATACAATAAACCTAACAGAACTATAAAAAATCGTGATTGTTAAAATTACTCCTTTATTTAAAAAAAGTTCTTTTTTATCATTATTTTTTCCATTGCCAAAAAAACTATTTTGAAAAATTCATTATTTTTGAATGAAAAGTATTAATAGTCAGTACAGTTTCCTTTTAATTGGTATAATGTAAAATATATTATTTTATTCAGAATGGAATCAATAGTGCTTTTCACGAGTCAATAGGCAATGCCATTTCGTATGGTACAGCTTCTTTTGGACATCCTCTGGGATTAATACGTAACACGTTCACGCATCCGATAATTCATCTAAAGTAAATTCGTAAATAAAACGCGCAAGCTTCACTGGAAATAGCTCTCCTTCTAAGTTTTACTTAAAATATCACAACTGTCCAACTGGACTAATAATAGAAAAATGGAGATGGTCCGTTTTCTCTGGCAAGACAAAATCCTTGAAATACAACACATTCTGGTGGAATTTGCATCGTCGATACATGGGCGTCGTACCGCATTTATTAAGATCTGAGAAGTTCTTTGATCCTGCGGCGAAATTTCACGTCCATAATATACCTTCTGCTGGGTAAGTTTGGGACAATTCAATACGTAAGTAATAAGGACGTATAAAAGTGAAATTATATAACAAATGATTTGATATCAATAGGTATTACTTAGGAAACTTTCTGCAGGTACAGTTATTTCAAGGAATCCTTGAATGTACCCTTTGGTTCTACGGCATTTAACTTACCTCTTCACAAATGCGACATTTATGGTTCGAAGAATGTGGGAAAGTTCTTAAGATTGGAAAAAGGTTCAACAGCATGAATTCTTATAAAATAATAGCTTTAATTCTGGTTTTCTTCAAAAATAAGGAAAAAAAGTAAAAAAAATAACTTCCCTATAATATATATCTAAATGCTTCATTCGATTATGGAGAACATAGAAAATGATGTACGAATGTATATAAAAAAGTGATTATGACTCAGTTTACGCTTTCAGGTCAATCATGAAATTCGAGAGTAAAGCAAATTGGAGAAGTGCGCTGCATTTTACAACAGGATACTCCGAGTATCGCATAGAGCCGCTTTTATCTTACTATGTCAATCCGTAAGTGGCTGCAACATGAGATTGAACGTCACAGGATTCCAGTTGGCTGGGATTGAAATGAATCGAGTAGCTAGAGTTTTTCCATGTGGAAAACTCGCATCTGTGTTTCGATTTTCTTTTACTGTATTTAAGAATGATACCGATTACTTAGTTGTATTCTGGAGTCCGGCATGACTAAGTGATCGTTTGTTAGCGATTGCTCGAGTTTTGTATTTAATTCTTGTCTCTCTCTCTCGAACCCAAACCTTCATTCGTAAAAATATCGAATTCTTCTCGATTTGCAAGAGCATTACGGACATCGTTCAACGTAATAAGTTTAGGACATCTGCAATACAAATTAATGAGATACATGATAGATTGTTATTTACAAAATAATGCAATAATGATATAAAAAGTATAATTACTCATTTCCATTATTTCTTTCCCAAGCTCTTGCCAATGACGATCGAGTAAGATCCTCCACGAAACATTTGACAACCTGAACACAATAGTGACAGTGCAATTTTTATTCTAATACAAAAGTGAGTATAATTTATATCAGAAATAATATTTACCCGCATCATTACGCGACTAGCTGCACAAGATAGAATACCAGGAATAATCTCCTCCGGTCCGATTTTGATGCCAATTTCTTGCGCAGTGTCGCACACGAAATTATGGAATGGTAGCAAATTTTTATCAAGTTCAATCGGTATTAATGTAGAATCGGTTGAATAACTGCTATTCTGGTTGCTACCGTTTTTTCTTCGATCGATTGTGATTCTGCGCGGACATTCCTTAATACTCTCAACATCAATCTCTTCGTCATTGATAATATAATTATCTGACTGACGATTTGGCTCTTGTTGGCAGGTCTGTAACCATTTTTGCAACGCAATTGGTTCCGTATATGTGGACAAAACTGTGGTGGATGTCGTGGTATCGGGTAATTTTTTCATATCGCTTGTTCCTGCTGCTGTTTCCTGAACGCCGAAGACACTCTGGCTCAGTGTATAGCCGTGCAATCTTGCCCACAGCATAATCTCCTTGATACTCCACAATTGATCACTTAAGATCAGCTTCATTTGTAGAAAGTTTCTAATCATTTTTGCGCGGTACCATTCTATGGCTCGTTGCTTGCCGATGTTGTACGACAAGTATTCCTCCTCGCTGTAACACGCATAAGGATGCAGCCGTCTATAATCAGGATCGCGAACATCTTGCGTAACAATTGGCAATCGACGTATGATAAATCGTATCAACGCTTCCGTATCAGTGATATTCGCGGTATCAATCGACTGGAGAACTGCTTCATACAGATCTTTTTTGCTCTGGATTTTGAATTTATCCTTACCCAGCGTGATTTTTGCCCGCTGCACAATGGTCTTTTCTTCCGATTTTGCGTACGGTACGAACTCTTGTTTGCTAACCGACAAAACGTCTCCCGTTGCCTCGGCGAGGCTGTAATTATATCGTGAATCGTGCGAGTCCACTATTTTCAAAATCGGCACATTCTCGTTAGCGTTCAGCAGCAGACTATTAGTGTCTTTTAGTTTGAGTAGCGCTGTCTTTTTTTTGTTATTGTTGACGGTATCTTCCTGTTGTGTGTTTGCCTTAACATTAGGCGGCTTCTTCAGGATGCTAACGCCCTGGGAAACAGGAATATTTAGTTTCGCGACGCTCGGAACAGAAACTTTCACGCCATCGACAAACATCCTCAAGTTTTCTCTAGATTTTGATGGAAGAATATTTGTGAGATCCACTGGTACCGATTTTTCATTCTTCAATAGAAGTACATGCTTACTGTTTGACGACGCGATTATATTCGGTGGTATGGAGATTTGCAGAGGTTTTAAATTGCAGGTTCCCGAAGAATTCGCAGTTTTCTGTAAATTATTAAAGCAATCAGACGATTTGCGGAAACCATTAATCGCCGTCACTGTATCATTGGCCGAAGGAGTTTCTAAAATTCTGAAAGTATCGCTCTTCGAGTTTTGTAAAGGTTTGTCCGTATCGGATAATAGATCCTTTCGATTATTGTTCTCTTGGAATGCTGCATTTATTGACGTCACGTGTGGATCATTTATAATTATATTTGAAGATGCCAAAGTCTGGTAATTACTGGAAGACTGAATATCACCATTAATTCTATGCGTGGAAACCGTTATATCAGATTTCCTTTTGTTATTTTCGACTGTTGAATTAATCGCTAATGTTTTGTTGTCACTTTCCGGAAAGTGTTCCACAGTCATGTTTCCTTCTCTTTCTGTAAAATGCCGAAAGTTGAAATACTGTCTGCAAAAATAATCATGATCGTGTTTAATATGACATATCGCTTCTCTATGTTTATGATTAGATACGTAAGTGTTTAGTGCGTCGTTAAATTCAGTTTTTATTCTTTCTGAGTTTGTAATCAACATTAAATCCAACGATGAATTATATTGTTCGTGTACTTCCAAATCAGGTATTTCTTTTTTTACTTGAATTTTCTCGAAAATGTTAAGCCGTGACATGTCTGTAAATTTCTCTGATTGTTTATCAATAGATTCAGAATTATCATTTACTTCTACTTTTACGAAAGTGTCATTAGTTGAAGATTCACGGTTATTATTCTGCTCGAAATTACGGGATTCAGCTGTATGAATCCACACGTCGACCAAAGTCTCAGAACCCAAGGTTTGCAGTCCTGTATAAGTACGATCCAATTTCAGATGATGAATTATATCCATAGGCTTATTCAAGGTATTCTTGAAGTGCAATTGCACTCTAAGAGGGAACTCGCCCCACCCCCGTCTGGACAAGTGAAACGGGTACGATGTGACCTCAACGATGTCATTTGGATGATAGCTGGGATGCAGGAAAAACCTCACCTTACTGACGAAAGTGCTGATGTTGGCTTTCTCGTCTTTGTCGCCGCGCACATACATCGTCCACTTGTGACTAGACGCATCCTCTCGCCAATCCGGCGGGATCCACTTAGAGATATTGCCGACGACAATGCGTTTGCGGATCTTATGGCTATTTCCGCGAGACGGACATATCTTCTCAGGCAAGCTCTTTGGTGGAACGTAACGAGGTATTTTGCGAGGTTGAAACTCTTCATCCAGCATTTTTCGCTTTTTACCTTGTAACGCACCATCATTCTTGTTTGCATTTTCTTCGATTTTAAGTGTGTTATGAAACACGGTACTTGCGTCCGACGTGAGAGATTTGTCATCGTACAAAAATCGAGGATCGGTAGACGTTGACGGTACTGCAAGATCTGTGTAACCAGCGAATTTAGGACTCTTTCCAAGAGACGTTTTAATCGCAGGATGAATCCTCGTCTGTTTTGTTGTTTCTACAGCTTGGGAAATTTGACACTGCTTGCGATTGTAAAAATTAGTAATTATGATGTAACGCAACAGATGAAAGATGTTCAGAGTTTTGTGTAATCTCTCCTGTATCTGCAAAATTTCCTTCTCCTTCAAATCAATTTCTAGTGAAAATTGCTTTTCTATGATTGCAGATATCTTTTTTGCAGTAGTGTTCCTTGCTAAAAAAAAAAAAGAAAACAAGTATTATTTAGACACATAATCGTGCAGTATTCTTAATAATAATAATAAACGATTTTTTTAAATCCTATAATGTGAATACACAAGTAAGAGTTAAAGCCTATAACAGTTAAAGCTGAATCTTAGATTTGGTTAAATTAGTTAAATAAAGAGTTAGATTAGTTTAAATAAGGTAAATATGCAGTATAACGCCCCCACTTCCGATTTTTCTGTAATTTTGCAATTTGTGTATTTTCGCATAGAATATGTACAATTGTAAAATGTCATAATGTCATTAAATTATCATTTTTCAACTTACGAACATAAAAAAACTTTAAAATTACACAATAAGAAAATGAGATTTGAGCGACGATTTTTCTTCGCGGAATATACTCTATGCATGAAAATATACAAATTTACAAAATTACAGGAAAATCAGAGGTGTGAGTGTTATATACTGCACATGTTTACCTTAAATAATTTCTATGTGAATTTATGTACTAAATATATAATCATTTGAACTGCGCACTCAATTGATTTCTCAGACTTAGAAACGCAACTGAACTACTGTACTACTATCACAAATTAAATTGACAAGAAATTTAATAATTTGATGCTCAATCAGGGATCTTATTTGAGAATGTTAATGTGCTGAAAATCGGTTAATAAATTTATTGCAAAAAATATTACTTTGACTGAGAGTTTAATCCAGATCTCTAGCATTTCATGTGAGCGTCCTAAGCCTTTAGACTAACCGAGATCCAGCTTAAACCGTTATAGGCTTTAACTCTTACTTGTGTATTCTTAATAAGTTAAACACTGTGCCGCTATATGAATAAATCAAATGTAAGTAAAGAAAGACCAAATATAGTTGAGGCTATTTTGATGTCTAATAATATTTACATGTAAATTTTTCAATATATTTTCCAGTTATATAAATTATTCGCCGATTACTGTCGGATTCAAAACACAATCATAAAATGAAGCTGAAATAATATCACAAAGTAAATTACTAATCAATTTAATAATGATGCTAATAAGCATCTTAAAACATAGCACAGAACTTTTGCAAAAACTATTGCAAGAAATGTAACTGCAACTAGAGTTTAAACCTAGAACCTTCCGACTATCATGATACATTATGTTACATTAGTATAATCTATATAACAAAATTTTTTTAATTTACTAATATTACTAATGTTTGAG